GGTAGCCTAAGCTCCTGCAATAGTTCTTGATTAAACATAGCTGAGCTGCCAATAGGCCAGCGTGATTGGAAATGTTGAACAGCAGGGATAAGAACTGAAAGTATCAGACAGCCAATGGGAGAATCTAGTTGGCAAGAATGTAGAAGACACAAAACCAAGACACACAAGCAAACTTACGCGTTGTCGGATTGAGGATGATGTTTGCAAGCTTGTCTATGGAAGTGACATGCATATCATCAAAGTATTTCTTCACATCTGCTGAGGCGATAAAGATAAGAAAATATATAGTTCCTAATAGCGCAAATTAAATCTTCACTGCTTTGGAGAGATATTTGTGAATTTTACCAGCGCCAGCAAGACGGGCGTATGCATGGCCGAGCTTGAGCCAACGTTTGAACTTGGTCTCGCTCATATTTAAGTCATGCTGATGGATGATTGTCTTCGCAGTCATTTGTTTCTTGTTTCGAATGCTAAGGTCCTCGCTGCAGTCAATATGTAGAAAACAAAAGGGAAGACAGGCGGCTCACCTTTTTACCTTAGCTGAGAAATGTATCATACTGATCATGCCGACGAAAGAGACGACTCGCGCCAGAGCATCAGACCGTGCACACCTTTCAGATATGGCCTTCAGAGAATTAGTCTGCATTGCCATAGATGCCCCTTCCCATATACCGCCTTTCAAGAACGAATCCCAGTCGTTAGCGGTAGTACCTTCAGATAGCAATCGGATCATCTCTTGCGATAAAACCCGTATCATGGCATTTTCGATGTAAGGCTCCATGTTGCCAGATGGAGTGACGGCAGATGAACCCTCTGTCCAGTTGTGGTGGGAAGCCGGCGCACCTTTCTTCTTCTTCAACTGCTTCCCCCCTCGAGACGTTTTGCATTTCTGTAGACTCGGATCAGGAGCTGGATCACCAGAACCAACCCCCGATTTCGTTTTCCAAGCACAGACGCAGGAGGCTGCTCTTCTCCAGTATCTCCTGGTGAGGTGGGACGCTGAAGGGAGGGTGCAGACGGGGAAGTCCGCTGATCAACAGTAATGAGGAAAGACTCGAAATCCAGACCGGCTGCGTTGGTTGCAATTCATAGGATGGATAGGCTGAAAGCATCTTCATTCATACGTGCTTCTTGAATCGAGGATATAATGCTGGTAAAATCCTGATTAAAAGCGGCGTATTCGGCCATTTGACGTGCAGCTGCAAAGGGGGCGTTCAGCATGCTCCAAACTGCAGATCAGCTTCACGCGCACCCATCAATCTTGACCTTACATCCCCCTCATTTATACCATCTGGGAAGCCCAAGTAAGTTGCTGCAGTCATTAGCCCTGTACCTTTGGCCATTTGTTCACCCATGATGTTACTGTTGCATGTGTGAGGCAGTCCTGAGCCCTGAGAAGGATTCACAAAGTCAGGAGGTCCACATCTATATGTAAGAATACTCACCTCTGCAGGCGACATGAGAACATCCATAGAATTGAGCGAATCGGCCTCAGAGTGCAAT